TCTCCGTAGAGAATACATTCAGTTCCTCTAATCTCTCCTCATAGCTGATCTCCTCCATGCCTCGTATCAGTTTGGTTGCCCTTCTCTGTACTTCCTCCAGTTCCCCAATGTTCTTTTTGTGAATTGGAGCCCAAAACTGAACTGCATATTCCAGATGAGGTCTTACTAATGACTTCTACGGGGGGTGATATCTCTCTCTCTGGAGTCTATACCTCTCCTAATACAAGAGAGGATTTTGCTCACCTTAGAACCCGCAGCTTGGCATTGCTGCCATTATTAAGCTTGTGATCTACAAGTCCTACAAAGTTACAATGTACAGTCTGATCACTGGGGGAGGGGAGACCGAGGAAACGCCTCCTCCTACAAAGTTACATTGCGAGACGTCTGTGGGTTACATTGTTGCGTCCCCTTTAAGAAGGCCCCCGCGCTGTGGGCACAGAAGGGCCGGTGTGGACGGAGGAGTTCGGAATAGGTGCGTGGTTGGTCGGAGATGAATCGCTCGATCCGTCAGCTGTTGATATTGACTCGGCGTTGCCACGTTACAAGGTGAGGACAGCGGAGATAAGCCGAACGTGCCGAGACTTGATCCACGCATTGTGGCCGACACGCCGGCTGGAGTATTGATAGCCGTAACGTGACACCCGGCCGGCCCGGGAAAAACAGCAATTAAGAGCTTGGCGAGATCCGCGGATTATCCGCACCTGAGAACAGAGCGCCGCCGCTCTACGTCGCTGCAGCGCGGTCTCGTCCGCATGCAGGAAGATCGCCGCTCTACGTCGCTGCAGCGCGGTCTTGTCCGCACGCAGGAACATCGCCGCTCTACGTCGCTGCAGTGCGGTCCCATTCGCACGCAGGAAGATCGCCACTCTACGTCGCTGCAGCGCGGTCTCATCCGCACGCAGGAGGATCGCCGCTCTACTTCGCCGCAGCGCAGCGCGGTCCCATCCGCACGCAGGCAAGATCGCCGCTCTACGTCGCCGCAGTGCGGTCCCATTCGCACGCTTGCAGCAGTGCGGTCCCATCCGCACGCAGGAAGATCGCCGCTCTACGTCGCGGCAGCGCGGTCTCATCCTCACGCAGGAAGATCACAGCTCTACGTGGCGGCAGCGCGGTCTCATCCTCACACAGGAAAATCACAGCTCTACGTCGCGGCAGCGCGGTCTCATCCTCACGCAGGAAGATCGCCGCTCTACGTCGCGGCAGCGCGGTCTCCATCCTCTACGCAGGAAGATCACGCAGCTCTACGTCGCGGCAGCGCGGTCTCATCCTCACGCAGGAAGATCACAGCTCTAACGTCTCTCACCTCACGTCACAGCGGCAGCGCGGTCTCATCCTCACGCAGGAAGATCACAGCTCTACGTCGCGGCAGCGCGGTCTCATCCTCACGCAGGAAGATCACAGCTCTACGTCGCGGCAGCGCGGTCTCATCCTCACGCAGGAAGATCACAGCTCTACGTCGCGGCAGCGCGGTCTCATCCTCACGCAGGAAGATCACAGCTCTTACGTCGCGGCACGTCGCTGCAGCGTCGGTCTCATCCTCACGCAGGAAGATCACAGCTCTACGTCGCGGCAGCGCGGCAGGAAGATCTCATCCTCACGCAGGAAGATCACAGCTCTACGTCGCGGCAGCGCGGGTCTCATCCTCACGCAGGAAGATCACAGATCACAGCTCTACGTCGCGGCAGCGCGGTCTCATCCTCCCGCAGGAAGATCACAGCTCTACGTCGCGGCAGCGCGGTCTCATCCTCACGCAGGAAGATCACAGCTCTACGTCGCGGCAGCGCGGTCTCATCCTCACGCAGGAAGATCACAGCTCTACGTCGCAGCAGCGCGGTCTCATCCTCACGCAGGAAGATCACAGCTCTACGTCGCGGCAGCGCGGTCTCATCCTCACGCAGGAAGATCACAGCTCTACGTCGCTGCAGCGCGGTCTCATCCTCACGCAGGAAGATCACAGCTCTACGTCGCGGCAGCGCGGTCCCATCCGCACGCAGGAAGATCGCCGCTCTACGTCGCGCAGTGCGGTCTCATCCACACGCAGGAAGATCGTCATGTTGTGTTGCTGCACGCGCATTAAAGTATACTGCGGCGAATGTAAGTCGCGCGGCATTACGGCGGTCCGCTCGTTGTGAACGAGCTGCCAACGCACTGCGAGGGATGAAAGAAATGCAGATGACCCTGAATAAAAAAAACCCTGTTTTCTCTGCCCCCCCCCCATCCACCATCAACATGCTGATGACATTTTTGATGAAGCCTTTCTGATGTCATTGCATCCCTAATTTTAGTCCCAGTGATGTCATCACCCGATCTCTGTGTTTCTCTATGCATTGCAGGCAGATCATGGCTGATGGAAGGGTCTGTACATATCTTCCGGAAAGCATCACGGCCCCCATAAGTACCTGGAAGAGTTCTTGACACAAGACTGAGCATGCTCCATGTATCTGATGTTAGGTCCACCAATGACCAGACATATGACATCCCCTCCCCCCTCATCAACAATCCAATAAAATTTGTAAATAAATCTTTTCCATTTCCATTACCATTTTTATTCCAAATGATATCATCACTGGGTCTCTGTGCTTCTCTATGCAATGTAGGAAGATCACAGCTAGTGGGAGGAGCTGTACGTATCTTCCTAGAAACATGCCAGCCCCCTGCCTCAGTACTCCTCTCTGGAGCCCTCAGCCCTGATGCAAGCAGTGGGAGGAGTTATGCAAATATGTAAATACCTTGATGGGAGGGTGTGAAGTCTGGCGGAGTGGGCGTTCCTAGGCAGGCTGCTTTAGGTAACGCCCACATGTGATGCTGAGCTGATTGACAGATCTGAAATCCAATGAATGAGTGTCCGTGATTTAAAGGTTGAACTCCGGGTACAACCTGACACCATCGGTGGGAGGAGTTATACAAATATCAACCTTGATGGGTGGGTGGAGGTTGATGGGCATGCAGACCGCCTTAGGTAACGCCCACATGTGATGCTGAGCCTCTATGATTGGAAGAACTGGAATCCAATGAATGAACGGGCCTGGGACAGGCTAGGGAGGAAATCGCTAGATGATGCTGGACGTCCTCCAGCCAGGAAATGGGGCGGAGCTCTATGTGACTGGCTGCAGCTTCTGATGCACATTGTGAGACATAAAGCCGACTCGTTTCGGGGGTTGAAGCTCCTCTTCTTCAGGGCTCTGGAATTGTCAGGAAATATATTTTAATTCGACCAATAAAAGTGAGTCTCCGGAGGTGGGGGCGGGGTCAAGTTAGGGGATCTTTTACTTGAAATACCGACAGCCTGTCAGGTGGAAGCAGTTGGGCGGTGCTTCCACAGCCCCCGGTACCTTGACCCCTCCCCCTCGCTGGCACGCACGCTCCCGCCATGTAATCCTGGGCTCTGCTCGCCCATCTGCAAGCCGGACATGGCGGGTGGAGGGGAGGGAGGAGAGCGGGAGGAGAGCGGACACACATTCACTCTCCTCCCCTTCTTGCTGCAACCCGGAAAGCGGCATGTATGACATCACGTATAGCGGCATGTATGACATCACGGAAAGCAGCGTGTATGACATCACCGAAAGCGGCATGTATGACATCACAGAAAGAGGTGTGTATGACATCATGGAAGGAGGTGTGTATGACATCACGGAAAACATTGTGTATGTCATCACAATAAGTGGCGTGTATGACATCACGGAAAGCTGCGTGTTTGACATCACGGAAAGCGGCATGTATGACATCAGGGAAAGAAGCGTGTATGACATCACGGAAGGAGATGTGTATGACATCACGGAAAGCGGCGTGTATGACATCACAGAAAGCGGCATGTATGACATCACAGAAAGTGGCATGTATGACATCACGGAAGGAGGTGTGTATGACATCACGGAAAACGCGAAAGTGGCATGTATGACATCACGAAGCGGTGTGTATGACATCACGGAAAGCGGTGTGTATGACATCACTGGAAAGCGGCGTGTATGACATCACAGAAAGTGGCGTGTATGACATCACAGAAAGTGGCGTGTATGACATCACAGAAAGCGGCGTGTATGACATCACAGAAAGTGGCATGTATGACATCACGTGTGTATGACATCACAGAAAGCGGCATGTATGACATCACTTCTGGGTCACCACTGTTGCATTCCCCGGCTAGGATAGCGAACGCGATCTGCATTGCAATACACCCAGCGGAGCCCAGAGGAGACATGGGGGGTCTGTAGGGTGGGCTCACACCATACAAGCGCAGTCCAGATGCATTGCGGACACGTTTGTGACGCATTCCGGTGCATATTTGATGCGTTCTGGTTAATTTCTTTCCCCTCTCTGTTTCTTCAATTCAAATAGGGACATGTGCGTTCTGCTGCGTTTTTGGTGCGCTCCGGTGCATTTTGTATGCATTTCTGAAGTGTTTTTGGTGCGTTTTATATGTGTTTTACCACATTCTGGGGCCTGTTCACATCATAGAAACACAGTCCAGACGTTTCCGCCTTTTGATGCGTTCTGGTTCATTTTTTTCCCCTCTCTTTTTCTTTAATTTAAATAGGGACATGTGCATTCCGGTGCATTTTTGATGCAGTTTTAATGTGTTTTGGTGCGTTTTTTATGTTTTCTGGTTCATTTTCAAAGTTTCAGAGCAAATCCAGATGAATGTGGCTATTAACTAGCTACACTATATTGCCAAAAGAATTGGGACGCCTGGACTGCCCTCTGCACCTATAACAGCTTCAACTCTTCTGGGAAGGCCGTCCACAAGGTTTAGGAGGGTGTCTATGGGAAGGTTGGACCATTCTTCCAGAAGCACATTTGTCAGGTCAGGCACTGATGTCGGGGGAGGAGGCCTGGCTCGCAGTCTCTGCTCTAATTCATCCCAAAGGTGTTCTATGGGGTTGAGGTCAGGACTCTGTGCAGGACAGTCAAGTTCCTCCACCCCAAACTGGCTCCTCCATGACTTTAGGGACCTTGCTTTGTGCAGTGGTGCGCAGTCATGTTGGAACAGGAAGGGGCCATCCCCAAACTCTTCCCACAAAGTTGGGAGCATGAAATTGTCCAAAAATGTCGCCTTAAGAGTCCCCTTCACTGGAACTAGGGGGCCAAGCCCAACCCCTGAAAAACAGACAGAGAAGCGTGATTGGTCATCTAGAGAACACCCCTCCACTGCTCTAGATTCCAGTGGCGGCGTGCTTTACACCACGGCATCCGACGCTTTGCATTGCACTTGGTGATGGAAGGCTTGGATGCAGCTGCTCGGCCATGGAAACCCATTCCATGAAGCTCTCTACGCACTGTTGTTGGGCTCATCTGAAGGCCACACCAAGTTTGGAGGTCTTTAGCTATTGACTCTGCAGACAGTTGGCGACTTCTGCGCACTGTGCGCTTCAGCATGCGCTGACCCCGCCCTGTCATGTGACGTGGCCTACCACTTGGTGGCTGAGTGGCTGTTGTTCCCAGTTGCTTCCACTTTGTTATAATCCCACTAACAGTTGAGCGTGGAATATTTAGTAGCCAGGAAATGTCACGGATGGACTTATTGCCCAGGTGGCCACCTATCACGGGACCACGCTTGGAGTCACTGAGCTCCTGAGAGCGACCCATTCTTTCATCAATTGTTTGTAGAAGCCGTCTGCATGCCTAGGGGCTTGATTGTATACACCTGTGTCCATGGAGGGGATTGGAACACCTGAATCACATGATTGGGAGGGGATTGGAACACCTGAATCACATGATATGGAGGGGATTGGAACACCTGAATCACATGATTGGGAGGGGATTGGAACACCTGAATCACATGATTGGGAGGGGATTGCAACACCTGAATCACATGATTGGGAGGGGATTGGAGCACCTGAATCACATGATATGGAGGGGATTGGAACACCTGATTGTTATGGAGGGGATTGGAACACCTGAATCACATGATTGGGAGGGGATTGGAACACCTGAATCACATGATATGGGAGGGGATTGGAACATTTGAATCACCTGATTGGGAGGGGATTGGAACACAATCACATGATTGGGAGGGGATTGCAACACCTGAATCACATGATTGGGAGGGGATTGGAGCACCTGAATCACATGATGGAGGGAATTGGAGCACCTGAATCACATGATATGGGGGAATTGGAGCACCTGAATCACATGATTGGGAGGGGATTGGAACACCTGAATCACATGATATGCAGGGGATTGGAACACCTGAATATGATTGGGGGGATTGGAACACCTGAATCACATGATTGGGAGGGTGGGGACAATACTTTGGCCAATATAATGTATGTCAGTGAAGGCATGACAGGTATTTTTGCGCATTTTATTAACGTTAATGAAACGCACTGCACGTTAATGAAATGCAAAAAATGGCAATGCAACTACGACGGGCGTTTTGTGTGCTTCATAAATGTGGTGAATGTGGAAGGGAATTCTGCGGGAATAGAAGAAAGAAGTAACATCTCCATGAGAAGATCCTCCGTACATCTCCCCCCCCCCCCCCCATCCGGCTCATCGGACAGATAACACAGGAGAGCTGCAACACATCGGATACATGGAATGGATGGAGGAACACAGCTGGACATTCCCAGACTTCTCCTGATACATTGTATCACCAGCAGAACCTCGGGAGGGGACCAGGAATGGCAGCAGAACGTTCCAGAAATCTCAGTCTTTGGTTTACAGTCAGTGCATGTTCTGGGCTCTGAGTGTAATTGCTTTGGGTCCCAAGTGTCAGTGGGTCATTGTTCTGGGACCCCCAAGTGTCAGGGTGTCATTGTTCTGGGACCCCCAAGTGTCAGGGTGTCATTGTTCTGGGACCCCAAGTGTCAGTGTGTCATTGTTCTGGGACCCCCAAGTGTCCATGTGTCATTGTTCTGGGAACCCCAAGTGTCAGGGTGTCATTGTTCTGGGACCCCCAAGTGTCAGGGTGTCATTGTTCTGGACCCCCAAGTGTCAGTGTGTCATTGTTCTGGGAACCCCAAGTGTCCATGTGTCATTGTTCTGGGAACCCCAAGTGTCCATGTGTCATTGTTCTGGACCCCCAAGTGTCAGTGTGTCATTGTTCTGGGACCCCCAAGTGTCGGTGTGTCACAGTTCTTGACCCCCAAGTGTCAGTGTGTCATTGTTCTGGGACCCCCAATTGTTCTGGACCCCCAAGTGTCGGTGTGTCATTGTTCTGGGACCCCCAAGTGTCAGTTTGTCATTGTTCTGGAACCCCAAGTGTCAGTGTGTCATTGTTCTGGGACCCCAAGTGTCAGTGTCAGTGTGTCATTGTTCTGGGACCCCCAAGTGTCCATGTGTCATTGTTCTGGACCCCCAAGTATCAGTGTGTCATTGTTCTGTTGCCTGCAGTGCCAGTGTGTCATTGTTCTGGGACCCCCAAGTGTCAATGTGTCATTTTTCTGGACCCCCAAGTGTCGGTGTGTCATTGTTCTGGGACCCCCAAGTGTCAGTGTGTCATTGTTCTGGGACCCCCAAGTGTCGGTGTGTCATTGTTCTGGATCCCCAAGTGTCAGTGTGTCATTGTTCTGGGACCCCCAAGTGTCGGTGTGTCATTGTTCTGGATCCCCAAGTGTCGGTGTGTCATTGTTCTGGATCCCCAAGTGTCGGTGTGTCATTGTTCTGGGACCCCCCAAGTGTCGGTGTGTCGGTGTGTCATTGTTCTGGGACCCCCAAGTGTCGGTGTGTCATTGTTCTGGGCCCCCAAGTGTCAGTGTGTCATTGTTCTAGGACCCCCAAGTGTCAGTGTGTCATTGTTCTGGGACCCCCAAGTGTCGGTGTGTCATTGTTCTGGGACCCCCAAGTGTCGGTGTGTCATTGTTCTGGGACCCCCAAGTGTCGGTGTGTCATTGTTCTGGGACCCCCAAGTCTCAGTGTGTCATTGTTCTGGGACCCCCAAGTGTCAGTGTGTCATTGTTCTGGGACCCCCAAGTGTCAGTGTGTCATTGTTCTGGGACCCCCAAGTGTCAGTGTGTCATTGTTCTGGGACCCCCAAGTGTCAGTGTGTCATTGTTTTGGGACCCCCAAGTGTCAGTGTGTCACTGTCCTGGGACCCCCAAGTGTCGGGGTGTCATTGTTCTGGGACCCCAAGTGTCGGTGTGTCATAGTTCTGGAACCCCCAAGTGTCGGGGTGTCATTGTTCTGGGACCCCCAAGTGTCGGGGTGTCATTGTTCTGGGACCCCCAAGTGTCAGTGTGTCATTGTTCTGGGACCCCCAAGTGTCGGTGTGTCATTGTTCTGGGACCCCCAAGTGTCGGTGTGTCATTGTTCTGGGCCCCCAAGTGTCGGTGTGTCATTGTTCTAGGACCCCCAAGTGTCAGTGTGTCATTGTTCTGGGACCCCCAAGTGTCAGTGTGTCATTGTTCTGGGACCCCCAAGTGTCGGTGTGTCATTGTTCTGGGACCCCCAAGTGTCGGTGTGTCATTGTTCTGGGACCCCCAGGTGTCGGTGTGTCATTGTTCTGGGACCCCCAAGTGTCGGTGTGTGTCATTGTTCTAGGACCCCCAAGTGTCGGTGTGTCATTGTTCTGGGACCCCCCAAGTGTCAGTGTGTCATTGTTCTGGGACCCCCAAGTGTCAGTGTGTCATTGTTCTGGGACCCCCAAGTGTCAGTGTGTCACTGTCCTGGGACCCCCAAGTGTCGGGGTGTCATTGTTCTGGGACCCCAAGTGTCGGTGTGTCATAGTTCTGGAACCCCCAAGTGTCAGTGTGTCATTGTTCTGTGACCCCAAAGTGTCGGGGTGTCATTGTTCTGGGACCCCCAAGTGTCAGTGTGTCATTGTTCTGGGACCCCCAAGTGTCAGTGTGTCATTTTTCTGGGACCCCCAAGTGTCGGGGTGTCATTGTTATGGGACCCCAAGTGTCGGTGTGTCATAGTTCTGGAACCCCCAAGTGTCAGTGTGTCATTGTTCTGTGACCCCAAAGTGTCGGTGTGTCATTGTTCTGGGACCCCCAAGTGTCAGTGTGTCATTGTTCTGGGACCCCCAAGTGTCAGTGTGTCATTGTTCTGGGACCCCCAAGTGTCGGTTGTGTCATTGTTCTGGGACCCCCAAGTGTCAGTGTGTCATTGTTCTGGGACCCCCAGGTGTCGGTGTGTCATTGTTCTGGGACCCCCAAGTGTCGGTGTCATTGTTCTAGGACCCCCAAGTGTCGGTGTGTCATTGTTCTGGGACCCCCAAGTGTCGGTGTGTCATTGTTCTGGGACCCCCAAGTGTCATTGTTGGACATGTCTCCATTGTAATATCCCATTTATCTCCAGTTCTCCATATTGGAGGACCTATCAGCAGACCAGTTATGGTTGAAGCCTTCATCAGCAAGATGCTCCATCATCCTCTATCATCCTCATTCCTTCCATGGCGGTCCGGAGGGAAGCAGCAGGAGAAGACGCAGCCGACAACCAGAAAGGGCAAAAGAGGACACGCATTTATATTCCGTCCATGGCGGCGATTTTGTTTGTTTTCCCCCCTTCGCCCGGCGTAACTCTTTCACAAGGAGAGCCCATTGCCGTTTTCTCAATGAATGTTGCAAGTTTACTTAATAGAACTGAAACCAGCTGAGGCTTTTGTTCATTTGCATAAAAAAAAAAAAAAAGTTCAATAAAGATTTGTTTTGATTCAAGCTTATTGTAAAGAAAAAAAAAAAAAAGACATTGGAGATGTAAGCCCCTCCCGCCCGGACCCCCGTCCCAAGAATGGTGCTTCGCAGCTGACGGGCTGAATGGCCCTATTTCAGGACGGGGGAGCCCTGTATCCTCGTGTTGTAGCTCTGCCAGTCTTCTGGGGGCTGAAAGGAAAGGAGTTTGGCGAGAACAAACTGTACAGTAGCGGCCCTTGAATGGGGGGATGTGGTTTGTCCTCAGTCCTTACGCAATACATCGCCCCACTCCGCGGCTCGGGGACTCTTCTCGCCCGTCTTCAGAGGCGTCTATTTAAAGAAACAACTTATTTTTACTTTCTTTTCTTTGAAAAGTTCTCAGGCTGGAGTGCTCCATGGATCCTGGAGGCCTGAGGTGCTTGGGTGTAAAGCTGGCCTCCGGGCAGTGGTGTATTTAGGTTTCGTGCTGCCCTAGGCAATACAAAATATGGCTCCCCTTCCCAAGGAGAGACCCTGACACCGACCAACACCCCCCCACAAAGAGAGCCTGGCATTGACCAACAACACCCCACGAAGAGAGCCTGGCGTTGACCAACACCCCCCCACGAAGAGAGCCTGGCGTTGACCAACAACACCCCACGAAGAGAGCCTGGCGTTGACCAACAACACCCCATGAAGAGAGCCTGGCATTGACCAACAACACCCCATGAAGAGAGCCTGGCGTTGACCAACAACCCCCCACGAAGAGAGCCTGGCGTTGACCAACACCCCCCCCACGAAGAGAGCCTGGCGTTGACCAACACACCCCACGAAGAGAGCCTGGCGTTGACCCCCCCCCCACGAAGAGAGCCTGGCGTTGACCAACAACACCCCACGAGAGAGCCTGGCGTTGACCAACAACACCCCACGAAGAGAGCCTGGCGTTGACCAACAACACCCCACGAAGAGAGCCTGGCGTTGACCAACAACACCCCATGAAGAGAGCCTGGCATTGACCAACAACACCCCATGAAGAGAGCCTGGCGTTGACCAACAACACCCCATGAAGAGAGCCTGGCGTTGACCAACACACCCCCCACAGAGAGAGCCTGGCGTTGACCAACACCACCCCCACGAAGAGAGCCTGGCGTTGACCAACACCCCCCCACAAAGAGAGCCTGGCATTGACCAACACCCCCCCACGAAGAGAGCCTGGCGTTGACCAACACCCCCCCCACGAAGAGAGCCTGGCGTTGACCAACAACACCCCAGCCCCACGCCCACCCCCCACCCAAGAGAGCCTTCCACTACCACCGCCCCCCCATACACTGGCAACTCCGTCCCACCCCGACAAGAGATAACACTCACCTTCACAGCTCCGGACATCCCAGAGTCAGGCTCTGCATACACCATCAAGCAGCCCCTCTCAGATCCCACCTGGGCTCTGTGTTGCGTGTGTCCCTTCTTTCAGGGGACGGCGCTGTGCCCCCTGAAAAATGCCGCCCTAGGCAAATGCCTCGTTTGCCTTGTGGTAAATTCTCCCCTAATGTTGGCTGCTGGTCACTGGTCATAGCGCTCTTACTCGCTCCTAGCATTAAGCTCCACTCCCTACACGTTTCGTCCACTCTGACTTTATGAAGGGGGATGATTATTAATAATAAGAACTTAACAAGAGTTCTACTATTTATTTATTTCAGTTACTTATATAGCGCTTTACATATATATTGTACATTCACATCAGTCCCTAACCCTCGAGGAGCGTACAATCTAAGGTCCCTAACTCACATTCATACACATACTAGGACCAATTTAGATAGCGTGCAATTAACCTACCAGCATGTCTTGGGAGGGTGAGAGGAAACCAACACAGGCACAGGGAGAACATGCAAACTCCAGGCAGGTGGTGCCATGGTTGGGATTTGAACCAACGACCCGAGTACTGCCAGGCAGAAGTGCTAACCATTTAGCCACTGTGCATACACCATCAAGCAGCCCACAGCCTCTTTCAGATGCCACCTGGGCTCTGTGCTGCGTGTGTCCCTTCTTTCAGGGGACGGCGCTGTGCCCCCTGAAAAATGCCACCCTAGGCAAGTGCCTTGTTTGCCTTGTGGTAAATACTCCCCTAATGTTGGCTGCTGGTCACTGGTCATAGCGCTCTTACTCGCTCCCAGCATTAAGCTCCACTCCCTACACGTTTCGTCCACTCTGACTTTATGAAGGGGGATGATTATTAATAATAGGAACTTAACAAGAGTTCTATTTATTTATTTCAGGTACTTATATATCGCCGTCAATTTACGCAGCGCTTTACATATATATTGTACATTCACATCAGTCCCTAACCCTCAAGGGGTGTACAATCTAAGGTCCCTAACTCACATTCATACATACACTTACTAGGGACAATTTAGATATGGTCCAATTAACCTACCAACATGTCTTGGGGAGGTGGGAGGAAACCCACACAGGCACAGGGAGAACATGCAAACTCCAGGCAGGTGGTGCCATGGTTGGGATTCGAACCAATGACCCGAGTACTACCAGGCAGAAGTGCTAACCATTTAGCCACTGTGCATACACCATCGAGCAGCCCACAGCCTCTCTCAGATCCCACCTGATCTCCATGCTGCATGTCCCTTCTTCCTTTCCTTCTTTTGGGGGACGGCGTTGCCACCTGAAAAATACTACCCTAGGCAAATGCCTTGTTTGCCTTGTGGTAAATACTCCCCTGCCTCCGGGGGGCTGAAAATATACAGGTTTTTAAAGGAGCCATCATCTTCATCCTGCCCTAACTACCCAACGACTCCAGCAAGCCATCAGCAAATGGAAGGACTTTTGATGTCTATGCTTGCTCCAGGTGACACTCAAAACTAAAAGCCGGTGTAATAAAAAAGTGAAGCACGCAAAAAAAGTGCAAAGGGTGTACACGTGGCCCTCCTCCGAAGAGAAAAAAACCCTGGTTCTAATCCACTGGGGTGCAGGACTCCTGATGGGGACTGGGGTACTGGTGGTCCACACGCCTAAAACCAGGTGGACCCCATTCTTCAAGGGACTTGCCAAAGAACCATGGTCCTCCTCCAAAGAGAAAGAACCCTGGCCCTGATCTCTCTAGATGCAAGACTCCTGATGAGGATGGGGGTACTCGTGATCTATTCAGTTAAAACCAAGCAGACCCCATTCTTCAAGGGACTTGCCAAAGAACCATGGTCCTCCTCCGAAGAGAAAGAACCCTAACCCTTATATCTCAGGACCCCATTCTTCAAGGGACTTGCTGAAGAACCATGGTCCTCCTCCAAAGAGAAAGGACCCTAACCCTGATATCTCTGAATGCAAGACTCCTGATGGGGACTGGGGTATTCGTGGTCCACCTGCCTAAAACTAGGCAGATCCCATTCATCAAGGGACTTGCTGAAGAACCATGGTCCTCTTCTGATAAGAAAGAAACCTAGCCCTGATTCCCTGGAGTGCAAGACTCCTGATGGGGACTGGAGTACTTGTGGTCCACCCGCCTAAAACCAGGCGGAACCCATTCTTCAAAGGATTTGCCAGAGAACCATGGTCCTCCTCTGAAGAGAAAGGACCCTTGCCCTTATCTCTATGGATGTAAGACTCCTGATGGGGACTGGGGTACTCATGATCTATTCACCTAAAACCAGGTGGACCCCATTCTTCAAGGGACTTGCCAATAACCATGGTCCTCCTCCGAAGAGAAAGAACCCTGACCCTGATCTCTCTAGATGCAAGACTCCTGATGGGGACTGGGGTACTCGTGGGCCACCCCACCTAAAACTAGGCAGATCCCATTCACCAAGGGATTTGCTGAAGAACCATGGTCCTCCTCTGAAGAAAAAGAACCTTGGCCCTGATCCCTAGGGACTCAAGACTGCTGATGGGGACTGTGGAACTTGTGATCCACCTGGCTAAAACCAGGTGGACCTCATTCTTCAGGGGACCTGCTGAGGCAAGGTCAACCCAAATACTAGGTGGGGCTTTTATAAAGGAGGACCCTATGGGAAGGGAAGAATCTGACCATAAGGCCATGTGCCTTCCCACATAAGACTTTCAGGAGAATTCTAGAGAAGAGACTCAGCAGGGGCTGTGTCAGAACTCTGCAGAGAGACCACTGCTTTCACACAGAGAGAAGTGGTGAAAAGACTAACATAGTCGGACCCTCCTGACTCAGCAGGGGGTACATCAGTTCTCTGTAGAGAGACCACTGCTTCCACACAGAGAGCAACGATCCTTATTTGGTAGTCATCTCAGACCTCTGCAGAGAGATCACTGCTTCCACACGGAGAGCAACTTTGAGAAGACTAGCAGATAAGGACTGCGACTCAGCAGGGGGTGCTTCAGACTTCTGCAGAGAGACCACTGCTTCCACACAGAGAGAAATGGTCCTTATCTGGTAGTCATTTCAGACCTCTGCAGAGAGACTACTGCTTCCATACAAGGAGCAACAGTGAGAAGATTACCAGATAAGGACAATTCCAATTGGATAGCTCTGACTTAATAGGGTGTGCTACAAATCTCTACAGAGAGACCACTGCTTCCACACAGAGAAACGGTGAAAAGACTAACAGATAAGGACCCTCGTGACTGGAGACCTCTAGCTGTGACTCAGCAGATGGTGTATCAGTTCTCTGCAAAGAGACCACTGCTTCCACACAGAGAGCAACGATCCTTATCTGGTAGTCATCGCAGATCTCTGCAGAGAGATCACTGCTTCTACAGAGAGAGCAATGGTGGGAAGACTACCAGATGAGGACCCTTCCAATTGCAGAGCTCAAGCTGTGACTCAGCAGGGGGTGCTTTAGACCTCTGCAGAGAGACAACTGCTTCCACACAGAGAGCGACGATCCTTATCTGTTGTCATCTCAGATCTCTGCAGAGAGATCACTGCTTCTACAGAGAGAGCAACTATGTGATGACTACCAGATAAGGACTCTTCCGACAGGAGCTCTAGCTCTGACTCAGTAGGGGTGGCATCAGACCTCTACAGAGAGATCATTGCCTCCATAGAGAGAGCAACTGTCCATATCTGGTAGCCTTCTCAGACCTCTGCAGAGAGTTCACTGCTTCCACACAGAGAGCAACGGTAGGAAAACTACCAAATGAGGACCCTTCCAATTGCAGAGGTCAAGCTGTGACTCAGCAGGGGGTGCTTCAGACCTCTGCAGAGAGACCGTTGCTTCCACACAGAGAGCAAAAGTTCTTATCTGGTAGTCTTCCAGACCTCTGCAGAGAGATCACTGCTTCTACACAGAGAGCAACGTAAAAAGACTACCAGATAAGGACACTTGTGTTTGGAGAGCTCAAGCTCTGACTCAGCAGGGTTTGTCAGACCTCTGCAGAGAGACCACTGCTTCCACACAAAAAGCAATGGTCCTTATCTGGTAGTCTTCTCAGACCTCTGCAGAGAGACTACTGCTTCCACACAGAGAGCAACGGTGAGAGGACTACCAGATAAGGAGCTTTCTGATTGGAGAGCTCTAGCTCTGACTCAGCAGGGTGTGCATCAGACCTCTGCAGAGAGAAACACTACTTCCACACAGGGGGCAACAGTATAAGGCCTACCAGATAAGGACCCTTCCAATTGGAGAGCTCAAGCTCTGACTCAGCAGGGGGTCTGTCAAACCACTGCAAGGAGACCACTGCTTCCACACAGAGAAATGGTCCTTATCTGGTAGTCTTCTCAGACCTCTGCAGAGAGATCACTGCTTTCACACAGTAGAGCATGAAGTGATCTCTCCGTAGCAGTCTGAAACCCCCCTGCTAGGTCAGAACTAGAGCCCTCCAATTGGAAGGGTCCTTATGTGATAGTCTTCATACTGTTGCCCTCTGTGTGAAAGCAGTGTTCTCTCTACAGAGGTCTGAGAAGACTACCAGATAAGGACCATTGCTTTTTGTGTGGAAGCAGTGGTCTCTCTGCAGAGATCTGATGCACACCCTGCTGAGTCAGAACTAGAGCTCTCCAATCAGAAAGCTCCATATCTGGTAGTCTTCTCACCGTTGCTCCCTGTGTGGAAGCAGTAATCTCTCTGCAGAGGTCTGAGGAGACTACCAGATAAGGACCATTGCTTTTTGTGTGGAGACCGTGGTCTCTCTGCAGAGGTCTGACAAACCCTGCTGAGTCAGAGCTTGATCTCTCCATTCACAAGGGTCCTTATCTGGTAGTCTTTTCACTGTTGTTCTCTGTGTAGAAGCAATGATCTCTCTGCAGAGGTCTGAGATGACTACCAGGTAAGGACCATTGCTTTTTGTGTGGAAGCAATGATCTCTTTGCAGAGGTCTGCAATGACTACCAGGTAAGGACAGTTGCTCTTTGTGTGGAAGCAGTGATGGTCTCTCTGCAGAGGTCCGAGATGACTACCAGGTAAGGACAGTTGCTCTTTGTGTGGAAGCAGTGGTCTCTCTGCAGAGGTCCGAGATGACTACCAGGTAAGGACAGTTGCTCTTTGTGTGGAAGCAGTGGTCTCTCTGCAGAGGTCCGAGATGACTACCAGGTAAGGACAGTTGCTCTCTGTGTGGAAGCAGTGGTCTCTCTGCAGAGGTCCGAGATGACTACCAGGTAAGGACAGTTGCTCTTTGTGTGGAAGCAGTGGTCTCTCTGCAGAGGTCCGAGATGACTACCAGGTAAGGACAGTTGCTCTTTGTGTGGAAGCAGTGGTCTCTCTGCAGAGGTCTGAAGTACACACTTCTGAGTCAGAGCTAGAGCGCTCCAATTGGAACTGTCCTTATCTGGTAGCCTTGAGCTCATGAGCTCTTCTAACTTCAGTGTTATAGGTCCGAGCCATCAGGAGGCGTGTGGCACATCTGGAGGAGACCACTGCTTCTACAGAAAGGGCAATGGGCCTGCTCTTCAGCATGCTGGCAGGGGACCAGGGGCGGACTGACAACTCATGGGGCCTCCGGGCAATAGGGGATCATGGGGCCCCTGTGTCCTTGACCACACTCAAAGCACACCCATAAAAGCCTATAAAAGGTACCAGGGGCATTTCATGGGGGCCCCCTACTGACCCCGGGCCCGAATGGTCAGTCTGCCCCTGCAGGGGACATGATATTCTACTCAGGCTATGTTCGATTTCTAAAGATAATAATGCGTGCCGGGTATTTTTAGCCATCCATTATCTGGGCCCTCAACAAAATGAAAGTGGCCCCTCGTGGATTCATACCCCACAGTTTAGTGCTCTGTCCCATTGGAGTTGGACGAGTCTGGTCATAAAGTCGAGTTGCCCTGAATTTTTTGGAGGTCTGTAAATGAGCCCCGTCCCAAAATTTATTCTTTTCTATAAAAAGAAAAAAAACCCCAGGAAAGTAAATTCAGCAAATAAATAAAATCCTGGCGGGGCGAAGGAGCGAAGCGGCAGATGAGGGGAAGGGGCACGCCGGGCGCTGCTCCATCTTCAGAGGGGAAAAAAAAAGCATAAACAAAAACAAAGGAGGACGCAGTAAACCGGCACAACCCTGACAGATAAAGTGTGAGAGATACGAGGCGAGTCCAGCCTGTTCTCACAGTCCTCTGGTTTGGGCCGAGCCCAGGCAACGGCAAAGCATGCATAGCTAAAGCGCCCGGCTGTTTGAGGTCCTTTGTATGAGCCCCCCGGGCTCCGCGAGAATCCTGATGATTGAATCTTCCAGGACACCTAACTCAGCCCTGCAGAGAGGACGGCGGACGGCGGCTGCTTCCTGACAACTGAGCACTTCGCTGACATTGACGTCCTTCCATCAACAGTTTATCGTCTATCACTGGCATCGATCTGTTCTGGTCAACCTTAACCCCTCGCCTACCGGGCACTTCTAACCCCTTCCTGCCCCCCCCGGGTACTTCTACCACCTTCCTGCCCCCCGGGCACTTCTACCCCCTTCCTGCCTACCGGGCACTTCTAACCCCTTCCTGCCCCCCAGGCACTTCTAACCCCTTCCTGCCCCCCCCGGGCACTTCTACCCCCTTCTTGCCTCCCGGGCACTTCTACCCCCTTCCTGCCTCCCGGGCACTTCTACCCCCTTCCTGCCTCCCGGGCACTTCTACCCCCTTCCTGCCTTCTGGGCACTTCTACCCCCTTCCTGCCTACAGGGCACTTCTACCCCCTTCCTGCCCACCGGGCACTTCTACCCCCTTCCTGCTCCCCAGGTACTTCTACCCCCTTCCTGCCTCCCGGGCACTTCTACCCCCTTCCTGCCCCCCGGGCACTTCTACCCCCTTCCTGCCTCCCGGGCACTTCTACCCCCTTCCTGCCCCCCGGGCACTTCTACCCCCTTCCTGCCTTCCGGGTACTTCTACCCCCTTCCTGCCCCCCGGGTACTTCTACCCCCTTCCTGCCTCCCGGGCACTTCTACCCCCTTCCTGCCCCCCGGGCACTTCTACCCCCTTCCTGCCCCCTGGGTACTTCTACCCCCTTCCTGCCTCCCGGGCACTTCTACCCCCTTCCTGCCCCCCGGGTACTTCTACCCCCTTCCTGCCTACCGGGCACTTCTACCCCCTTCCTGCCCCCTGGGTACTTCTACCCCCTTCCTGCCTACAGGGCACTTCTACCCCCTTCCTGCCTACCGGGCACTTGTACCCCCTTCCTGCCTACAGGGCACTTCTACCCCCTTTCTGCCTACAGGGCACCTCTACCCCCTTCCTGCCCACCGGGCACTTCTACCCACTTCCTGCCCCCGGGCACTTCTACCCCCTTCCTGCCTTCCGGGTACTTCTACCCCCTTCCTGCCCCCCAGGTACTTCTACCCCCTCCTGCCCCCCAGGTACTTCTACCCCCTTCCTGCCTCCCGGGCACTTCTACCCCCTTCCTGCCCCCCGGGCACTTCTACCCCCTTCCTGCCCCCCGGGTACTTCTACCCCCTTCCTGCCTCCCGGGCACTTCTACCCCCTTCCTGCCCCCCGGGCACTTCTACCCCCTTCCTCCTTCTGCTTCTACCCCCTTCCTGCCCCCTGGGTACTTCTACCCCCTTCCTGCCCCCGGGCACTTCTACCCCCTTCCTGCCCCCCGGGTACTTCTACCCCCTTCCTGCCCCCCGGGTACTTCTACCCCCTTCCTGCCCCCGGGCACTTCTACCCCCTTCCTGCCTCTCCGGGTACTTCTACCCCCTTCCTGCCCCCCAGGCACTCCTACCCCCTTCCTGCCTACAGGGCACTTCTACCCCCTTCCTGCCTACAGGACATTTCTACCCCCTTCCTGCCTACCGGGCACTTCTACCCCTTTCCTACCTACCGGGCACTTCTACCCCCCTTCCTGCCTACCGGGCACTTCTACCCCCTTTCTGCCCACCGGGCACTTCTACTCCCTTTCCTGCCTACCGGCACTTCTGCCCCCTTCCTGCCTACCGGGCACTTCTACCCCTTTCCTGCCTACCGGCACTTCTGCCCCCTTCCTGCCAACCGGGCACTTCTACCCCCTTCCTGCCTACCGGGCACTTCTGCCCCCTTCCTGCCTACCGGGCACTTCTGCCCCCTTCCTACCTACCGGGCACTTCTACCCCCTTCCTGCCTACCGGGCACTTCTGCCCCCTTCCTACCTACCGGGCACTTCTACCCCTTCCTGCCTACCGGGCACTTCTACCCCCTTCCTGCCTACCGGGCACTTGTACCCCCTCCCTGCCTACAGGGCACTTGTACCCCCTTCCTGCCTACCGGGCACTTGTACCCCCTCCCTGCCTACAGGGCACTTCTACCCCCTTCCTGCCTACAGGACTCTTCTACCCCCTTCCTGCCCACCGGGCACTTCTACCCCCTTCCTGCCTACAGGGCACTTCTACCCCCCTTCCTGCCCACCGGGCACTTCTACCCCCTTCCTGCCCAGGCCAACTTTCAGCTTTCAGCATTGTCACACTGCGCGGTCATGCAACACTGCACCCATATGAAATTTTTAGAATTGTTTTCACACAAATATTTTTCTTTTGGTGGTATTTACTCCCCACTGGGGGTTTTATTTTTTGCGCTATAAACAAAAAAAAGCAAAAAAGCAAAAAAAAAAAACGTTTTTATTTGTTTCTATTATAAAATTTTGCAAACAGGTAAATTTTCTCTTTCGCTGATGTGCGTTGATGAGGCTGCACTGATGGGCACTGATAGGCTGCACTGATGGGCATTGATAGGCAGCATTAATGAGGTGGCACTGATAGGTGGAACTGATGGACACTGATAGGTGGCACTGAAAGGCGGCACTGATGGTGGGCAGTGACTGGCAGCACTGTTGGGCACTGATGGGTGGCACTGACTGATGGCACTGACTGGTGACACTGCTGGGCACTGACTGGCGGCACTGCTGGGCACTGATGGGTGGCACTGCTGGATGGCACTGCTGGGCTGCACTGATGGACACTGGTGGGTGGCACTGGTGGGCACAGGTGGGTGGCACTGCTGGGCACTTGTGGGCAGCACTGCTGGGCACTGACTGGCGGCACAGCTGGGCACTGATGGGTGGCACTGACTGATGGCACTGACTGGCGACACTGCTGGGCACTGACTGGTGGCACTGATGGGTGGCACTGCTGGATGGCACTGCTGGGCTGCACTGATGGACACTGGTGGGTGGCACTGGTGGGCACAGGTGGGTGGCACTGATGGGCACAGGTGGGTGGCACTGCTGGGCACTTGTGGGTGGCACTGCTGGGCACTTGTGGGCGGCACTGCTGGGGGGGGGCACTGCTGGGCACCGATCATCAGTGCCCTGATGATCGGTGCCGATCACTCCTCTGATAACTGCCAGTTCTGTCGGCAGTACTTTCCTGTGACAGCGCAAGGAAAGTGCAGCCGATAACCGGCAATTGCATTTCCCTGTGATCAGTGTGGCATTGGACACGGCTGATCACGTGGTAAAAGGCTGTGATTGGCCTTTTACCATACCACGTGATCAGCTGTGTCCATAGGACTCAGTGATCACGGAGATCCCCAGGGGCGCGCAGGAGAGTGCGTTCCGGAGGAGGACGTCATATGACGCCCACCCAGAACTGGCCGGCCGCAGTGAAGCCGTCATTTGGCTATCTGCGGTTGGAAAGTGGTTAAAGTGTAACTATGAGCAAAAAAACCCCAAAAAACTGAGATATATGGCGTAACCTGTCGGTATTCATTGAGGGCCCAGGTGACATTGCATTAAGTTCTATTGGCCGCAGCTTGGCGTAAGGTGGTGGATTGCCTCGCGCTACACTGTAATAAAGTAGCGTGCGCAGTCATTTTTTACAGCTGCAACATGGTGGCGCGAACCAGCTATGTAGAGAACGCACCAAAATTTCCCAAATATCAGATGTGCCGCAGAAATGTTGATGCAAAACGCAGCAACGCACTATGGTGCATTGCCATGCATTACAGCACGTGCACATCGCCATAGACCATGTTTACACGGGCTGTTGGATGGGTGTCAATAATAGGAGGTTTAGCTGAAGTTTTACTGCCACCCAGGCACAAGTAACATGGCCAGTTAGTACATTCTGCCATGTTCGTTCAGCAATAAGTACTGTTGCCCAGGGGCGGACTGACCATTTGGGCACTCGGGCGCTGCCCGAGGACCCAGGGTCAGTAGGGGGCCCCATGAGATGCCCCTAGTAGCTTTTTTGGGTGTAGATTTGAGTGTGGGTGAGGACACAGGGGCCCCATGATCCCCTATTGCCTGGGGGCCCCATGAGTTGTCAGTCCGCCCCTGCTGTTGCCACACGTGACCCATTCAAGTGAATGGAGCCACACCGCAGCTCGGCTTGCAGTTGCAGCATGGTATTCCCATTCAAATTCCCCGTTCAGCTGCACCAAATAAAAGGCATTCAAGAGGCAGCAAAATCGCCTCCTAAACGCCTCGCAGTCGCTGCTCTTCCGCGCTCTGCAAAGAGATCTGCCGCTCAGCAGAAAGTGCCGCTCCCGTCAGTGAGTGTCCTTAGTGCATCAGGGGCTGTGCTACATGAATGGCACTGCAACATGTCAATGCATGTAGTGCACCTTGCCGCAACCAGGGGCGGACTGACAACTCATGGGGCCCCCGGGCAATAGGGGATCATGGGGCCCCTGTGTCCTTGCCCAAACTCAAAAAAGCCTATGAAAAAGGTACCAGGGGCATCTCATGGGGCCCCTTACTGACCCCGGGCCCTCGGGCAATGCCCGAGTTTCCAAACTGTCATTCCACCCCTGGCCGCAACACACAGTAAATCGGCCCTGACGGTCCTTTCACACCAGCCGGGCTCGTGGTGTCAGGCATTAACATGCATTGCATTAAGGCTGTTCATGGATCTGAATGGGCTGCCCAACACACCACGGCAAATCAAAAATTGTGCATTTGCAGCAACACACCGCATTGAAATGCACTTCTCCATGCATTGCGCTGAGCTACAACCTATATTCAGTGGTGTCCCGGGGCAGGTGTGGGGGGTGCACGCCGCACCGGAGACACCTACCGCTCCACGAAAAGGTAAGTTGTAAAGCAAGCCGACGATCCCCGCAGGATGGATCGGATCTGCGGATTGGGGAGCATAATGGATCGGATTCCGATCCATTATGCTCGATCCACAGTGAAGTGATCCTTCACTGGCCAGCTGTGTCAAAGTGATTCATCTCTGGCCAACAGCGTCAAAGTAATTCTTCTCTGGCCAACTGCAACAAAGTGATCCCTCTCTGTCTAACTGTGTCAAAGGGATCCTTTTCTGGCCACCTGCATCAAACTGATCCCTCTCTGGCCAACTGCATCACACTGATCCCTGTCTGGCTAACTGCATCAAAGTGTGATCCCTCTCTGGCCAACTGCCAACCTCTGCAACTGCATCACACTGATCCCTGTCTGGCTAACTGCATCAAAGTGATCCCTCTCTGGCCAACTGCATCAAAGTGATCCCTCTCTGGCCAACTGCAACAAAGTGATCCCTCTCTGTCTAACTGTGTCAAAGGATCCTTTTCTGGCCAACTGCTGCATCAAACTGATCCCTCTCTGGCCAACTGCCATCACACTGATCCCTGTCTGGCTAACTGCATCAAAGTGATCCCTCTCTGGCCAACTGCATCAAAGTGATCCCTCTCTGGCCAACTGCAACAAAGTGATCACTCTCTGGCCAACTGCATCAAAGTGATCCCTCTCTGGCCAACTGCATCAAAAGTGATCCCTCTCTGGCCAACTGCATCAAAGTGATCCCTCTCTGGCCAACTGCAACAAAGTGATCCCTCCCTGGCCAACTGCAACAAAGTGATCCCTCTCTGGCCAACTGCAACAAAGTGATCCCTCTCTGGCCAACTGCAACAAAGTGATCACTCTATATCCAACTGTGTCAAAGGGATCCCTTTCTGGCTAAATGCATCAATTTGATCCCTCTCTGGCCAACTGCATCAAAGTGATCCCTTTCTGGCCAGCTGTGTCAAAGAGATCCCTTTCTGGCCAATTATAAAATGTGTGAGTTAGCGAGCGCACCTTATAAAGCTGCTGATGCACAAAAAGGAACCAAAAAGCCTTTCTAGGAATATAACATAAAATGGGGTGTGCAGCGCTATACAAATAAAACACACTGTCATAAATATAACAAAATATGAGAAAAAGTAGAAAAGGTCCTATAAACTGAACGATAAACAGTCCGAGGTAATATGATATCAGTCCAAATAGGTATATTCCAGTGATGGAGTATATATGACTTCAATCCAAATGGGTATATTCCAGCATCCTAACATGAAGGTGTAGAAAAATTGCGCACTCACCGGAAGTGCAATTTAATGTGCACATAGAAATTCCATGTAGCCGGAGGTCCCGTGAAGGTACAGCCTGATGATAAATCCTCCAACCTGGGTGGACTCCTAAATCCTCCACATCTCAGCCCAGCATTTTAGGAGTCCACCCAGGTTGGAGGATTTGGGATATAGGTCCAGACCATCATCTCTGGCAGCCGTCACCCCATTTACCACCAGAGGATACCTTTATCATCAGGCTGTACCTTCACGGGACCTCCGGCTACATGGAATTTCTATGTGCACATTAAATTGCACTTCCGGTGAGTGGGCAATTTTTCTACACCTTCATGTTAGGATGCTGGAATATACCCATTTGGATTGAAGTCATATATACTCCATCACTGGAATATACCTATTTGGACTGATATCATATTACCTCGGACTGTTTATCGTTCAGTTTATAGGACCTTTTCTACTTTTTGTCATATTTTGTTATATTTATGACAGTGTGTTTTATTTGTATAGCGCTGCACACCCCATTTTCTGGCCAATTGATTGAAAGTGATCCCTTTCTGGCCAACTGCGTCAAAGTGTTCCCTCTCTGGCCAACTTTGTCAAAGTGATCTCTTTCTAGTCCACCACATCAAAATGATCCCTCTTTGGCCTTAGATACAGTGAGCCACTGTATGCAGTTGATTCAGACATGGTTCACTTTGACACAGTTGGCCAGAAAGGGGTCACTTTGATGCAGATCCAGAAAAGGATCACTTTGATGCAGTTGGACAGAGAGGGATCACTGTGATTTAGTTGGCCCAAGAGGGATGTCTAGGAAACAGTTTGCCAGAGCGGGATCACTAGGAAACAGCTGGCCAGAGAGGGATCACTAGGAAACAGTTGGCCAGAGAGGGATCACTTTGAAACAGTTGGCCAGAGAGGGATCACTTTGATACAGTTGGCCAGAGAGGGATCACTTTGATACAGTTGGCCAGAGAGGGATCACTTTGATACAGTTTGCCAGGGAGGGATGTCTAGGAAACAGTTGGCCAGAGAGGGATCATTAGGAAACAGCTGGTCAGAGAGGGATCACTAGGAAACAGTTGGCCAGAGAGGGATCACTAGGAAACAGTTTGCCAGAGCGGGATCACTAGGAAACAGTTGGCCAGAGAGGGATCATTAGGAAACAGCTGGTCAGAGAGGGATCACTAGGAAACAGTTGGCCAGAGAGGGATCACTAGGAAACAGTTGGCCAGAGAGGGATCACTTTTATGCAGTTGGCCAGAGAGGAATCACTGTGATTTAGTTGGCCAAAGAGGGATGTCTAGGAAACAGCTGGCCATAGAGGGATCACTAGGAAACAGTTGGCCAGAGAAGGATCACTTTGATGTAGTTGGTCAGAGAGGGATTGATTTGACACAGTTGGCCAGAGAGGAATCACTGTGATTTAGTTGGTCAAAGAGGGATGTCTAGGAAACAGTTGGTCAGAGATGGATCACTTTGATACAGTTGGCCAGAGAGGGATCACTTTGATACAGTTGGCCAGGGAAGGATGTCTAGGAAACAGCTGGCCAGTGAGGGATCACTAGGAAACAGTTGGCCAGAGAGGGATCACTTTGATGAAGTTGGTCAGAGAGGGATCACTTTGATGCAGTTGGCCAGAGAGGAATCACTGTGATTTAGATGGTCAAAGAGTGATGTCTAGGAAACAGTTGGCCAGAGAGGGATCACTAGGAAACAGTTGGCTAGAGAGGGATCACTTTGATACAGTTGGCCAGAGAGGGATCACTAGGAAACAGTTGGCCAGAGAGGGATCACTAGGAAACAGTTGGCCAGAGAGAGATCACTTTGATACAGTTGGCCAGAGAGGGATGTCTTGGAAACAGTTGGCCAGAGAAGGATCACTTTGATGAAGTTGGTCAGAGAGAGATCATGTGGACACAGTGGGGTTGATTTACTAAAGGCAAATAGGCTTTGCACTGCTAGTGCAGTTGCTGTAGATCTGAGGGGAACATGCAAGGAAAACAAAAAACATCATTATTGCTTGCACATGATTGGATGTAAAAAAATCAGCAGAGCTTTGCCTCATTTCAGAGCTTCTCCTCGGATATACAGCAAATGCACTTGCAGTGCGCAGTATATTTTCCTTTAGTAAATCTAACCCAGTGGATCAAAGAGAAGTCACTTTGACACAGTTGGCCAGAAAGGGATCACTTTGGTACAGTTTGCCACAAAGGGATCACTTTCATACAGTTGGCCAGAAAAGGATCACTTTGACACAGTTGGCCAGAAAGGGATCACTTTGGTACAGTTGGCCACAAAGGGATCACTTTGGTACAGTTGGCCACAAAGGAATCACTTTGACACAGTTGGCCAGAAAGGGATCACTTTGATACAGGTGGTCAGAAAGGGATCACTTTGATACAGTTGGCCAGAAAGGGATCACTTTGGTACAGTTGGCCACAAAGGGATCACTTTGGTACAGTTAGCCAGAAAGGGATCACTTTGATACAGTTGGCCAGAAAAGGATCACTTTGGTACCAATGGCCACAAAGGCATCGTTTTGACACAGTTGGCCAGAGAGGGATCACTTTGGTACAACTGGCCAGAAAGGGATCACTTTGACACAGTTGGCCAGAAAGGGATCACTTTGGTACAGTTGGCCAGAAAGGGATCACTTTGGTACAGTTGGCCACAAAGGGATCACTTTGGTAAGTTAGCCAGAAAGGGATCACTTTGATACAGTTGGCCAGAAAAGGGGTACCAATGGCACTTTGATTTTGACACAGTTGGCCAGAAGGGATCACTTTGGTACAACTGGCCACAAAGGGATGGACACAGTTGGCCAGAAAGGGATCACTTTGGTACAGTTGGCCAGAAAGGGATTGGCCAGAAAGGGATCACTTTGGTACAGTTGGGCTAGAAAGGGATCACTTTGGGCAGTTGGCAGAAAGGGATCACTTTGGTACAGTTGGCCAGAAAGGGATCACTTTGATACAGTTGGCCACAAAGGGATCACTTTGATACAGTTGATACAGCCAGAAAGGGATCACTTTGATACAGTTGGCCAGAAAGGGATCACTTTGATACAGTTGGCCAGAAAGGGATCACTTTGATACAGTTTTCCAGAAAGGGATCACTTTGATACAGTTGGCTAGAAAAGCATAGTTTTGACATAGCTGGCCAGAAATGGATCCCTTTGACGCAGTTAGCTACAGAAGTGGCTAAACGTCGGAGGAAAATGAGCATGCGCAGGATTATATATGATGTATACCGTGTAACAACGTCTCAGTTGGCTCTTTCATTGATTAAACAGATAGCATTTCTGAACTAAAAGAATGTGAAAAAATAAAACATTGAAATCCTTCTAGTTCTGCAATAGAATTGAGAGTTTGAATACCATAAAACGACCCCCTCCCCCTCCCTTTTTATTCTATATATCAGTTTTTTTTAGCACTTGCAAGGATATATAGCTATGCAAAAATTGAATT